GGGAAAGCACACCTTAAGCAGCATGGGGAGCACGGACCTCGAACCTGGAGACCTGAGGGAGTCGCCCGGTAGCCTTGGCCCGAACGTTTAGGGGTTTAGGGTTTAGGGTTTAGGGGTTTTGGGTTCAGGGTTTTGGGGTTTGTGTTCATACTGATATGTAGTTCGACCTGACTGTGGAAGTATGCTTGGGGATGGAAGCTGGCATGCTTCGTTGCGTTTTTGTTCTCTCCCTCTCTCTCTCCCTCCACTAGGTCCTTGTCGGATACAATTTTACATTTTTGTTACAAGATTAAAACCCAAAGCACCTGTATGCAAGTCATAGTGACAATTCACATGCAAGGACATGTGTGTCTACATACATACGTATATGTATACTGGCATACAACACACGATTTGTGCACGTATGTGCATATATGCTGCAGCACTGCTACGCCCTCCCTCTCCCCCCAAATATCCCCGCTCAAACCCCCCTTCCCTCCTTTCTCCTCAATCCGTGTGGGGTTCCCTGTGCTGTGCGTTGCCCTGCCCCTTTACACTGTGGTTGTGGTTGGCCGTTGGCGGCGCCCTTCCGTGACTATTGCAGGTTGGGCGTACGGTTGCTTGGGGCGTGGGCCTTCCGGCATGCCGGTATGCAAGAAGCACGGCCTCAGCATCATCGCACATCAGAAGCCCGGCTTGGCGCCGCCGCAGGGGTGGGGGGGGGCATACCAATGGAGGGGTGTCACTGAGGCGGCGACGCTGGACCATATGTATATATATATATATCTCTCTCTCTCTCTCTCTCTCGCTCTCTCTCTCTCTCTCTCTCTCTGCCTGTCTGTCAATCTACCTAGTGGTACCTACCTGTATCTTTCCTCTTATCTAGCTATCTGTTTATGTACCTGTCTATTTATCTTCCTTCCTAATTATCCATTTAACATAGGGGCCCAAATAACTACCAATACTATCTTATGGGCTCCTTATAGAATATATAGTATACTGGGCCCCAAAACCCTAGTCCAATTCGCAAGGCCCCTACATTATCTAGATTGTTGGCAGCTGCCAGATGGCCCGCATGTTGGAAGCTCTGTGGCTTCAGGGTGTTGTCTATGTGGGTACGGGTTTGGGGTTAGGGGTTTAGGGTTTCGGATCAGGGTTTAGGCTTTTAACTTCGGGTGAACATAGAAACACGGGCTTCCACACGGTGTGCAGACATGCATAAAAAGCCCTGGGAGGAAGTCCTGTAAAGTGTCTCTGAGTTTAGGGTTTAGGGTTCGGAGTCTAGGGTTCAGGGTTCAGAGTCTAGGGTTTAGGGTTCAGGGTTTAGGGTTCAGGGTATAGGGTTCAGAGTTTAAACCCTAAACCCTAAACCCTAGTTCAGCCCGTCAGGCAGAGATCCAGGACTTCGCGCGTCAGTGGATGCGTGAGAAGAAGCAGAGGCGAGGTATGTCTGCAGTATCTGGGACCCTAAACCCGAAGCCCTTGATAGGGCTTAGGGTTTAGGGTTTATAGAGTTTAGGGTTTAGGGTTTACTAAACCCTAAACCCTAAACCCTAAACCCTAAACCCTAAGCCCTTTAAACCCTAAACCCTAAGCCCTAAACGGGGATTATGATGTGGTTAGGGCAGGTCTGGGGCTGAGGGATTTAGAGATCTAGGTCTTCGGTGTCTAGCGTTTTGGGAATGTCAGAAAATCGTGACGAACTCTCTTGTGTAGAACCCAAAATTAAGTAGTAGTAGTAGTAGTAGTTGTAGTCGTAGTCGT